GGTGGAGGTCTAGTCCTAGTTAGCCTTCTGCTGTCCTGGTAGTCGTCTACTTGACTAAACTGCCTTTCCGCTCTCGTCAACGATCTCTTGGTAGATATTAATGGCTGACTCGCGTGTTGGGCCCTCCCAACAAAATTAAATTAATCTACCTACTTTCGGATTCTTTCATCACCCGAACCTCGGCCTGGGAATGGAGCACTTGTTGTGACTCACTCCTTGTAGACGCTTACGCGAGTGCGACCGGCTTTCTCACGCCCATTAGGTTTTTTTCATATTTTATTGCCTTTTTACTCATTCGGATCTAACTATTGATATTTTGTTACATCATATTGACGTCATCAATCGTTAACAAAGAACGAGAGAGAGAGAGAGTGAAAACTCACCGAATGGATTTAATCTCCTGGCGAATCTTTTTTGTCAGCATAAAATTCTCCCGCTCGATAAACTTGATGGAAACCAGCGCCTCCCCTCTAAAAGACGTGCAAACACGGTTTGAGACACAAATGAAGTGTTCTTGGTAGAGTACAAGGTAAAACTCGGAAAGCACAAAAGAATAGATAAGAAGTTATCAGACGCTCGTTTTAAGATTATTTTTCATAGATTTGAAGTCGAATTCTGCACTCTTAGAAATTGACCATCAAGTCCAAATCCTTAACTCTGTTTGACGGACTTAGTTCCCGTCATCGGGGGGCGTTCACATTATTCGGTCACCTATGAGTGTCGTTCACTAGTCTCGCCTGAATGCAGCCTATAAGACTGAAGATGCGTGACAAAGCTGAATGTTCATAGCCCTTTCGATAATGAACGCAGATCTGCGTACACCGGTCTTACGTGAAAATTGAAAAAGTTTATTCTAATCTCATTTTATTTTTTAAAACTTACCCACAAGGCTTTATTGAACATCATTAGGCATTTTAAGAAGACTGCATTTGAACTCACATCCTCCCGTAGACAAATGACGCCTCTGTTTCGCAGTAATCTAGATCCTCCTGGCTATCGTTGGGCAAAGGTTGACTGGCCTTAGGCTTGTCTTGTTCAACTGTAGAAAAATAAAATCATGGAAGGCATACTTGACTGCTAAGTACGATAAATGGCGATTAACATTACAAAAAGAACCTTTACATATTTAACAGGGACATTAAGGACAGGGTAGGATATACAGGAGCCCATTGATGAACGAGCAACGCGTGTATTTAACATTAATTAATATCTTAGCCTAAAATGACCCATGTCAATCAAAAGTAAACAGATTCGATGCAATGTATTTTAGAAAGGGGTTCAAACATCAAAATTCATCCATGAATCTTTCCCAAGACTCGCCAAACTCCACATATCACCCAGAAAATCCTACATCATCAGGTCCAGTGCTTGCTATCGCCACCAAGATCAGAGGAGTCATATGCAAAATACAACAAAGGGGCGAGAAAATGACTGACTATTTTCCACATTTAATGTATCTTGTTTTGTCGATTGTCTGAGGGCTATACGAATAGACAAAAATGAGTCTGGATAGTAAACGCCCTGCCCATTGGTAACCCCGTCTTGCACCTCTACAAGGAAGAAGTTTAAGGAATGTAGAGCAACTGATTTATTGTTACGGATTGTGCCATCATATATGCAGTGGAACCTCGGTTAACGTAGTTTAATTCGCTCCGGCAGCAAGGCCTTCAAGTGAAACACTCATCTTGCATAACGTAGCCAATCAAACTGTATCAGTTCATTGATTGGTCGCAGGCAACCGAGGACCCACGCCCTGAAAGCGAGACTTACAATGGCCGTCACAGGCACACACACACGCACTGACAACTTGTTAACCGAGCGAAAGCTCATCAATCGAAACAAATTTCCGGCTAGTGGCTCGTTCATTCATAATACAAACTCTAGTTATTTGTTAAAACAATGCTACTAAATGTTTATCAACAGTAATTTTATAGTAACAGTTTTTACGAGTATATGTACAAATCTATATGATGCAAAGGCATGTAATCCATAAGGTTTTCAAGGGCATTGCCTACTATTCTTACCAACTTAAGTGGAACTGAAACTAACTTACTGATTGTGACCCTGTCCTTTGTGATAATCCATGAATTGTCCCACAAGGCAAGACGGCTCCGTCGATAAAAGAACTAAAATCAGAAGAGACATGTGCATTTCTTTACAGCTTTATTGAAATGATAGGCTTTCCACCAAAAGAGACTACTTTATTAGAGCTAAGGGGGCTCTGTCGTCTACTCATTCATCCATTTTGACCTATAAGTTGATTTCAGTATCTGACCTACTCTTCGCTGACGAAACTTTTGATGGATTTCACCCATGTGTGGAAGTTTTTGAAAGATGTGTGAATCAGTACAAAAGAAGGGATTATGATACGGGACCATTCCCTAAAGAAGCCTGTTAGCGACATGGTACTTGAGAAATTGTTCAAGCTATTGGCCGACTATAATACAGTTTACTGCCACATGTAACCGTGCCGTGTGCTTATTTGCTAATTCTTCGAGAATCGTGCACCTGTGTTAACATGTGGTTTTTATTATTATGTTACAGTAGGTTTTTGTTTACCTTATTTTTCGTTACTTACGTTCTATTAATACGTTATAACTTTCAGTTAAGTTTACGGTTAATAGTTTATTTTTCTGGGCTTCGGCTTTCAGTTTACAGTTCATTTAATAATTAACTTTTTTATTTTAGGTTAGGTTATAGTTCATTTTATAGTTTAGTTTGCAAATAAAACTGCAATTTTTCGGTCTAGTTTATAGTAGAGTTTTATAGTTTAGATAACTTTGAATTTTAGTTTAGTTTGTAGACAAACATTTAGTTTTTTAGTTTATTTTAGAGTTTGGTTTTGCATTTTAGGTTGTAGTTAAGTTTTAGTCGTAGATCAAAATTGAATGCATATTGGTTTTTATAATTGGTTTTTAGGTTGCGTTTTCAGGCAATTTCAATGTTTCTCCAATCAGTTGACCGATAATACAGAAAAAGAAAAGCTACAAAATAATAATCTAAAAAATGTATAAGTTCAAAAATCAAAAAACAAAAATTACTATACAACTATATAATAATAAAAGGTAGCCTAGACGAAGTAGCCAAACAGTAGCACCCGTTTCTGCTCTTGTCTCCGACGATGAATCCGCGACTGATGTCGAAACTTCAGGCGAATAAAAGTATTGTCCACGTAATCGAGTCGTCTTCTTCTCAATTACTTCCTGGGACTCACGCGTTTGCTTGTGATTTGGGGAACCGTCTGTTGTCGACATTATCACTTTCTACAGGTTTATGCAGGCCAATTTGCGGCCATGGCAACATTGGAATTCATGGGGGACTAGTATGATTATATTTTTTCTGCGTGTATTCAACGATTTACAAAGGGCTATGTTGTCAAACTTACACTCAAGCGGATTTGTTTTTGACGTTGTAACTTATCACATGCCACAGGACAGTCTTAAGCAGTATAAATTGACGTTGTAACTTACCATACTAACAACCTAGGTACTTGCTAAAAGGCCCAGACACGTGTTTCGCCGGCATTCTGCCGCCGCTGCTTGACACAGCTGCAAGGGGTCCCTCAGCTTTCCCTGTCTGCTTTCTCGTTGATATAACAGTTTTGAAAGTTCAGCTTTTCAATCTCCTGAGAAATTAATTTCTGTTCGTGGTATATATCAATAGATTTAAGACTATAGGCGTAGACCGAAATTGTAAGTGTATATTTGTGTTGAAACCCGTCAAACAGGATTTTAATCTTTAGAAAAATCAATTTCTGATCGCGGTATATATAAGGTCTAGGCGTAGACCGTAATTGTAAGTGTATATTTGTGTTGAAACCCGTCAACCCCTGGCTGCAGGCGTATATTTCACAGGGGTTGACAGGTTTCAGCACAAATATGCACTTACAATTACGGTCTACGCCTATAAACTTTTAATATATATTGATATATACCGAAAACAGAAATAAATTTCTCAGAATTTGTTTTGTTAGCAGTATGATACTACTATTGTGTAGTATCGAGGTTCTGTTGCAATTATGAAAACCCAATAATATTTGCAGTTACTGAATTTGGCTCAACCAAACGTATTACATTCGGATCAGAGTAATTAGGAAAATCAATTCACAGCGCTTCTGCAATACGGCTGTAGAAGTCTGCCACTTAGCGCAAATGCGCGTCCTGCTCTGCCATGACTTGCATCTCGCGTGATTAATTAATCCACGTCGAGGATTCAAACGGCATTGATTGACTCACTGCTTCAAACCCGCGTACGGCTGCGATGGCAATCGATACATCCGCTCCGGCTGATTGGCTGTGCAGGGGAGAGAGAGCACAAGATCGCGCAGGCAAAGCAACACAGCTTCTCAGACACCTCTGGCATGCAGAACTACCTAGAAGCTGGCAGCTTGTGACAGAAGCTCTGCACAATTGCTTTTCCCGCGGTAAAGCTGTTTCTACCAATTCTGTCTTACCTGACTTCTGATTTGAGGAACCTTCTTTTGTCGACGCAACTACCTATGACACGGCCTCATGGCCTGTATGTCCTATGTGAGTAGGTCTGTGAACAAGCTTCGCTCATCAGTCCAGTTGCCGATCCATAATCTGCGGCTGTTCAACTATTCCGGT